CGCACACTTGAAAAGTTACTGTACTGTTGCACTGCACTGTTAGAGAACACTTTACCATTAGTGGAGCCTTTACTTTGACGTCATATCTGTGACGTCTCTAATAAGGACACTGTTCCGTCTCTTCGGTGTCCGTTTTAGAGATGTCGATTGTATCTACCGTTGATGTCTCCAAGTTTAACTGTTATCATGCGATGTATTTTTTTTTTTTCAAACAGATTTTTAATTTTGCTGGATGATTCAGAGCGCGTAACCATTGTTCAGTCACTGCTTTCACGTAACATCCCATCGGGCTCTACGATCACATTCCGTAACATCCAATCAGGATACGTTATTCTGGGGGTACTGGGCCCGAGCTCGCGTCAGCTGCTTCAAAGTCTCACCCAGACCTCTTTGGACGATAGCCAATTCCCGGTGAATACTGCAAAGGTGAATACTGCATAATACACTCGTGAATAATATTAGAGCTAAACTGATTTTAAATTCGTAGCACTGTGGAAGGAACGTACATATATTTTTCGAGTCTTTGTTTGGTCCGGAAGACACACTTGTTCGAAATTGAAAGTTGATCCGAAGATAAGTAAAAGAAATAAAAACTGAACGGCCGACGAAAACGACTTAAAATAACCGAAACCCTAGCTTGAATTGTCAGTGTAATCTTTGCGATTCGAAGGTGGTTTTAATCGTGGATTAGCTTAATTCACATTTGCAAAGCTGGCCGTGAAGATGAGAATCTCTTAAGCAAGGAAACCAGTCAGCCAGTCGATCACCCTTTTCAGTTATTATTATGCTTCGCACTTTGAAAACATGCTTTATTTTCAGGACATTGACTTGGGCTATGCCTCAGGTGTTAAGGTTTTCAGGACCAGTTGCTTTGGTGACCAGGAAAATGACTGGAAGCTTTTGGTTCCCTCAGAGGTGAGTTACGTCATCGAACAGATGCTTTGATGTGGTCTTAAGATTTGAACATGTCGTTTGGAGCCGTTCTCAATTGAGTGTCGTAAAACCAAAACCAAACTACGAACCAGGGTTATGTCTCTGTCACTCGGACCAATCACAAATCACAAAGACAATCCAGCGAACCAATCAAAACTCAAAGCCAATATATGAAGTCGACGCTACGCGCGGGAAAACTTGTGCAAGAGAGTCACGATTGGTTTTGATGTTACTTTTGATTGGATGAAAACGTGGCGCGAGTTTCTCGGCCAATCGCTTCGCTTAATAATGCAAAACTAACGTAAATGCTAATTGCTTTCAACACTCAACCTAAGTGAAAACCGCTTTATATTAAATAATAACTAATTCTGATTTAAAGTTGAACTCCCGGTCGAGAGGTCTGGGTTCTAGCCCTTGCCGGGATCTTCTCGTTTTGTTGTTGGGAAAAGTCGCTTTACTCCTGCTCCTGGAAATGGGTACCGGTGATCTGTGAGGGAAACCTGACAAAACACAGGAGGCTATCCTATGATCTCCCGTCCGTTTTCCCGATGTAAGGTAACAATTTCGGAACTTTGCCTCATGCTCTTTTTTCTTCATGCAGTTCGCAGTTTGTTTGTACCGTGATCTTATGGCGGCTGGGAGGGATCTGGGTGTCAGAAACGCGGGTCGTTCAGTGGTGGACTGCTTACGAATCGAGAGAGTCATTCCTCAGATGGGAAGTGAGCTGTCATCTTTTATCACTCCGTCGGAGGCTGGGATTATGGACAGAGTTCAACTGAATAAGGTGTAGTGTGAACATTACATTTCAGTACACATTGCTAGGCTCAATCATTGGCTTTAGTTACCAACAAAAGGAATTTTGCTAAGGTTAAATTAGTGTTTTTGGCATCTGTGACTTTTCACGTTACAGTGATCATGCAATGGTCAGTATTCCCTAGAACTTTGCGTGACGAGCCAAATAACTGGTACGAAACGAAGGAAGCAAGGAGATGAGAGAACTTTGTTTTAACTTCGTTGTTCGTGAGACCATTTGAGAAAACTTATCTCTGTAGTCGTCAATTTTGACGGCGCTTATAAAACTACAAGCGTCAAAGTGCAACATACGGAAATTTTTACAGAAAATAGGAATGGTATAGGGCTGTTTCGTTATTTTGAGAATGCTCCTTTTCACCTAGCGATCACTCAGGCTGTGTTTTCACCTGCACAAAAAGAATGTAAAATTCTTAGCTAAGCCATGCGGTGTGAAGCACAAAATAACGAAAGTCAGGAATTATTAAACACATAGAATGCAATAACTTGTAACTTCTGCGTAAGGGTACTATGGCTTCTGGGACAGAAAGGCGCTTTGCACTGTCGTCTCACCTGTGTAAGTTGTCCTTTTCTTATCGCCGGCACCACCACCATCACCATCACTATCTCTAATTCCATTTGAATTCTGCAAAACCGTGATCATCCGGATTTCTCCGGCTTCGCTCAACGAACAACTCCTTTTCTTGCCGCTTTCTTTCTCAGAATTGTGATTTTATCGGAAAGCGAGCACTTCTTGATGGTCAAGACCAACCACAAAAGAAACGCCTCGTACATATTGCTCTTCAAAGCCACGACGACGGCAATTACCCGTGGGGAGGGGAGCCGATTCTAAGAAATGGCTCGTCAGCGGGATCAACAACGAGTGCTTGTTACAGCTTCAAGTTAAGCCGCCCAGTGTGTCTAGGATACTTACAGGGGGAGGGACAGGACTCTGTCGTTCAAGATGGACGATTCGAGATCGACATAGCTGGGAATTTGTTCCCTGTTTCGGTTTCTTTGCAGTGAATTAAACAAACACCTAAAGTACAGAGTATAGAGCGGTTTTCATTTGAGTGTCGAAAGTAATTAGACAATTACTTTGGTTTTGGTTTGGGTTTTACTACGGTTTGAGATTGGCTGAGTAGTCTAATTGGTAAGTAATTGATTTGGTTTTGGTTTTACGACACTCAATTGAAAACCGCTCTATTGAAGATAGTTTTGGAATTTCCATAATTCAAGTAGCTTAGAGTCTTAATTTCTTTTTTTTACATAGTAGTGGTCTTAGTTAGGAATTTTCCAGTCTAGGATTTAGCGTATTTTTCACATTGTTGGAAAAAGGTTTGGGTATTTGTGGATGTCATTTTTTGATGGCAATTACGCTGCACAGAGGAACTTATATAATAAACGATTTTAACTCAAATGTATTTTTGTACTGTAACGAAAACCGAAATAAATGTCCTCAAGGAGGGTCGAAAGGTGAAGAAAAATAAGAATCAAATAAGGAATTTGTTTGAATCCGAGAAATTTTTATCTTATTACTCTGTAATTTTTATGAATTATTTAACAATGTGTACGCAATTCTGAATATTACCTTTTGTGGCGATATTTAAATGAAATGTTTTTCAGAGAAGTAGGCATGCATGACTCTGAAAAGTGTTGATCACTCAGTTTCTCACATGCTTTTAAAAAAGTGTGAAAGTAGAATGTATATAGACAGTTAATAAAATAGTTTTACTTGAGATGAAGCTTTTGATCTCTAATAACCTTCAGTTTTGAAACTGCAGAAAGTGATCGCCATATCTCCTTGTGCGCGTGACTGGCAGTGGTATTATAAGGAGCTACGTCACAGTTTGAGCATCTTAAAAAGTTTAGACTAAATTTTTCAAGTTGGTCGTTTGTAAGCCGTGTTAATCTTCTTCATCCTTAACCATCCTTGTTCTCATATGGTATATTATTATCTCTTTCGTGTTTTACCATCTTAGTAAGCTGCCATTTTCAGGCTTCCTTTAATTTAGGGGTAATTTTGTACGCAGCCAAAATACTCAAAATACCGTGACTGAGCTCCTTCTAGGCACTGATCACAAATTTAATGTTGCCCCTGATTTACGACCGAGTGTCTGAATTTTTTGAATAAATAAGGTTCTAATGTTAGCCACCCTAGTTGAGGGAGAAAACGTCTTCCACGTCCCAATAAGTTGTTCACTCTAATGAATTTTAATTATTATTATTTTAATTTAAAAATGAAAGCTATTAAGCAGTACTTTCATTCCGCAGAAGGTGGTTGGTGAAAGTTTCGGGTTTTTCTTCCCGTTTAGAAATATTTATTTTGGGGTTAAAACATGTCGGTCAATTTTTTCTTGTACCACGCTCGTTGCATTTTTTCGTCTCTTTTCTGCTTTGTTTCAGTAAATTTAGCCGCCGCCTCTTCCCTCAATCGATCCTCTCGTGCCAAGGCTTCCTTATCCTTAGCTCGCAGCCACTCCTGATATTTTCTCACCGCCTCGGCCTTTCTTTCCTCGCTATGCTCGCTCTCGGCGGTTTTTTCCTTGAAAAATTCCTGGTTTTTGAACTCGCTCTTTTCTTCAAGCCACATTTGGAATGTCTTTCCAGTTAATTGTCTCCTGTTAGCCTCTCTCTCTTTAGTCATGGCGTCCTTCTTCGCTTTTCCTGCCAATATTGTTTGGTTTCTGACCAATTGCGCCTCTTTATCGGTTAGCCACATCTCAAATGTTTTCCGACGATTCGACGTTTGCGCCTGCAAAAAGCGCGCGAGCTTTTCGTTTTCATCGTCGGATGACGAGTCGTCATCGTCATCGTCGTCAGACACATCAAAGTGGTCTAACTGGTTTTTCCTGATTGTCTTCCATATGTTCCAGGGCTTGCTTTCGCGGGATTCATAGTGTGACATTAGGAAGTCTTTCATCTGGCTGCTCATTTGTCTGAAATTAGAAATATTTTTTCCTACTCAGTGCATTTCTGAAGATATGTTCTTCGGGAAACATATTTATTTCTATGCGTTGAGGGCCGTACTGAAAAGGTTAAGCCAAATATAAACCTCATCGAATATTTTGCTGCCAAAAAAAAAAATAAATAACACGTTCAACTGAACCCAAAAGTCAGGCAGTTTTCGTTAAGGAGAGAAAAGCTCAGGGACGAGTTACAATTGCTAGTTTAACAATGCAGAAACAGAAAGTTTCCTATTCTCTCTTGTAATTTCAAATGCACATCTGCAACTCTCTGTTGTTTGCAGACGGGCCATAGTAGGGTGCTACCTCTACTACTGCCACCGATTCAAATCCTACAGTTTTATTTTCTCTTCCTCCTTACCCTACATACCTGTTCCCATTCTCTCCCACGTGCAAGCTCATGGCCCTTCTCCTCGGTTCAGGTGAGCCCGCAGGCGAGCTGTACGTACGGATCGCCTGTGTTCTCATCAGCGGAGTAGTGGGGGACCTCGGGCGAGGTAACAAGGGAGACTTGGGACGGGGATGCAATGGAGATCTGGGGCTGAGGATAGGACTTCCTGGCCTCTCCGGGTTGAGAAGCGATGGAACGAGTTTACGACCCAAGCGCGGAGAATTCATAGGTGATGAGGTTGGGGTGTTCACTTTAGGTAGCTTTTCCTCAACCTGTTTGACCACCGGGATAGGTTTGCCAGTCAACGGTCTTATTTCTTCGACGCATGTGCGCACAGAACCTGCAGAAGAAGGTCTATCATGGTTGTTTAGTGACCGGCAGGCTCTTAATGGCATGTGCAGCTTGAGCTGAGGATTGGAACCTCTATGTAACATCCTTTGGGGTACAGCACGTGCAGGAATAGGTCCTTCGCTGAACTCTTCTTTGTTTTCCTTTCGTTGATTGACTTCTTCTCTCTCCAGTTCGTCCCTCACCTTGTACATGATGTCGTCAACTGTTGACCTCGCTGGTTTTTCTTTTGATTCATTTTGGTGAGTCATGTCTTGTTTAGATTCCTCGACTTGATCGGTCTTCGTGTCATTTGCCTGGTGTTTCTGGCCGTTAGCGCGTAACTCGTCTTCCCCAATGCCTTTAATGTCAGCCTCCAACGTTTTGCCGATGGCGGACTGGCTTTCTGAAACTTCCTGGGACTGTAGTTCCACGTACTGGTTTAGTAGTTTCACCAGATCATGTTGGTTGGTGTTTTTAGCCATATCCATAGGCGTGACTCCCTGACGGTCAGCTCTGGATAGCAGCGACGAACCATCGTTCATGAAGATTGCCGCCGCGCAAGAGAAGTTCCCGCCTGCTACCGCGGCGTGTAGAAGCGTGCGACCGCTGCATTGCACGGTTTTTTTGACGTCAATTTTCACATCTCCGTTCAACAAGTCCTGCAACAATTCACCGTCTCCTTTTTGCGCTGCTATGAAAGCTGCGACGAAAGCTCTCTCTTCGCTCGAGATCTGATTCATCTTGATGAAAATGCGTTTGAATATCTGCCGATCATCCCGCTTCATACACCGGTCCACGAAGCGCTGCCACCATGGGGGAATGCTGAGCTCAAACGTCATTCCTTCACCACCGTCCTCCTCACCGGCTCCCCCACGGGCGGGTTGCGCCTCGATGTCCGCCATCTTTATCTCATCATTGAGTTCAATAGCTTTGTTGTCACCTCGATTGTGTACAAGTGTAAACAAGTCTGACGGAACACCGCTATTTACCTCGACCATCATTTTCAAATCGCGCACATTCGTCGAGCGCTTGGCTTGAAAACTTAAAGTTTCTCCTGTCGGTAGCTGAACATGGACTTGAGCGGGGACTTGAGAAACGTCACTGTGTTCTTTCGTCGATTCTGTTTTACTGCTTTGCCTCTGTTCTTCCATTGTCTCGATCTCCTTCCTTTGAATTTCTTTCCACGGACTTTTCTATCCCGTCAGTTAGCTGTCTTTATCTTCCAAGTTGGTTTCGTTGATTACATATTTCTACTTGTCGATTTTAAGACTTTGCTATCTCTACACCACCGCGATCTCTGGTTGTGTTTCTAACTTGAGTGAAATGATATCTTCTTAAAAGCGTCTCCAATTACCCGACAGGTATTACAGATAATTAGAGATATTGCCCAGTCACCGAGAAACAAACGACTTTTTTCAGTCCGCGTAAGAAGACACTGTGGAAAATTTGTAGTATTCACTTGGGAAAGAGGTAATCTTATTAAGTTCTGTGTTTGCGTGTTTAACATGAGCGCTTTTAAGGAGATTGAAAACATAAAGAATAACAAATAATACACTCAAAGCCGGTAACCCCCAAGGGGCCTAAAAAATGGCTTAATATCTGTTTTGCTTTATGTACTTTAGTTAACGATTCGTGATATACTACGCGACCAATCAAAGAACAAGCAACCTTGTCTGAGTAACTATTGTGATGTAAAATATGTAACTTTTATTATGTTCGCAAACAAACTTACCAATATCATTTGCGGTTTGGTCTTTTATTTTTATTCCCCCTCAGTATGTCATTTAGTTGATTGTCGGATTAAATGGAAGCATCTAATGGTTTAATATTTACATTTTCGTGTAAGGAATTTCTATCGGTCTGTCTTTCTAACCAGAGTGCTCACTGTTTAACGAACAACTACTGTTTTGTTTTAAAAAACAAAGTGATTGTCCGTGACTAAAAAAACGCGAAGCAAACTGACGTAATTGTCAGAGCTGACAAACGGAACAAAAGATGACGAATTTCATGGATTTAGTTGAGAAAGGGAAACCTTAACAAGCACTCAAACACATCACAGGCTTTCCCTTTACGTAGCCTGATTCCTACAAACAAAGATACTTCTGATCATTTGCCTAGGCTCATATCTGGCAAGGAAAGACAATAACCGGTAACTGTTTTGTAAATGATATTAAGACTGACTGACTGTCCTACTGACGAACTGTTTGTCTGCCTGCCTAACTGACTGCCTGACCGACTGCCTGATCGGCTGACTGACTGACCGACCGACCAGCTGACGGACGCTATACACTACTTTTCATTCATCCTTGCAGGTTCTTGTTCCCATTATCAGCTGCTTCAAAGCTCAATTGGCGAAGCATTGTACTTGTGCACTTAATTTGTTTTCAGGCTTTTTCTTCATTACGAGTCTAATCGTATGCAAAATTCTCCACGGTAGTGGTTATCCACGTGCCTATTTGTCGTGTAATCGGCCTGCGATCACGTGGGTGTCCAATTTCAGGCATCCAATTACAACTGTTTTCTCATTGGATACCTACGCCATGAGCACGTCAACTTTTTGAAACTTATGGAAAATAATACTGGCTTTTTCTATTAAAAGGAGTTGAAAACACATCTTCAATCTCGAAATTCGTTATTGATGCGATTAATTCTTCTTCACTTTTCATTCTATCCACAATTCATGTGCTGCAAAATTTCAACAGTTCCGTTATAATCCTTCCCCGGTTACGGTTATAAGCACTCCTGGACCGGGTTGTTCAAAGCCTGATTAAGCTAATCCAGGATTAGCGAGATTTTTTATTTCAGTTTTGTAGTTTTTCCGTGAGGTTTTCTGTTTGTATTATTTGTCCTTCAGCTTTGAGCTTGCGTAATCTCGAAACACACAAAACATAAGCAGTGGAAAACATTTCGACACAACAAACATTGATATTTCGGTTAAATTTTAATCCTGGGATAGCGTTAACCAGCTTTCGCACAACCCGGCCCTGGTTTCTGGTGAGTCTGTCATCTAAAGATAAATGATATATCCCGATTATAAGGGCTCGCCTCCAATTTTTCCTTGTGAACCTATTAGCGTCCTGGCAGAGAAAGGGCAAATCAAGTTTGCATGCAGAATTCAATCAAAACTTTAAACCAGGTTAGCTGTCACGCAATATATTTTTCACTCTCTACTCCACAGAGGCCTCTTTCGTACTGCCTTGACCGTGTAGGCCGGCAATTTAGAGGCTGGGGGGAGGGAATAAAGAAAACACGTAGGAAACGCTCTCATCGTCTTTCCCTGCGCGCTCTCTCATTTCCCTTTTCCCCTTCCCCTCCCCTAGGAAGCTTAAGTCCCCAGTGACCAAAACCCCTTACAAATTTGATTAATCCCAGGGTCTATAACCGGCATTATAATCCATCTAATATTTTCGCTCGCGCGCGATTGGTCTAAACGCATCACGTGACTGAATATTTCCCAGCTAAAACTGGGGAATATCCGAGTGATATTCCCCAATTTTTCATACCGCGCGTGTTGCGAAAAACATTTGAAGGATTCTAAACATAATAGCCTCCATTTGGTACGGAAATATGCTGGGATATTTGTCCTTGGACATTATGTGTTCCTCAAAACTCACAGTTTTCCTCGAGCTACGCTCTCGGAAAACGGTTCGCTTCTCGGGACAGATAATGTCCGCGGACACATATCTAGCATATTTCTGCGCCAGATGGAGGCTATTGTTTATTTATACGAAAAAGTCTCATTCATATTCATCATTTTGTCTAGACACATGACGGGCGTAAACTTTTCAGTATCAAAACCCTATAGTTTTATTCAATCAACCATAAAGCAAATATATTTGTACATGTAATAATTAGCAGCTGTAAGAGATTTCATTAAATATATTAATTTGTTTTCTGAAAATGCGATTGTTTACAAAGCATACTTTTAACCTATCTAACATTCTTCATCATTCTATAACTGGCTTTCAGTAGAACGCTGTATATAAGAGTTGCAGTAATCACTCAACCAATAAATCAGTCATTTGATTTTGCTTTCTGATCTACATATCGGCCTTCGCAGTGTTTGTTAGCTACTCCGGGAATTATCACCACTTGAGACTGACTTTGCAGTCGTGGAAAAGTTCCATTTTAGATCGGAATCCTGTATCAGAAACTAAATTGATTCACAGTTTGCGTTGGATTGGTTGTTACGTAATATGGCGTGTGTTTGTCACGACAAGCTGACGTAACAACAAAATGTCATTGCGTTTAATTGCTCGTGCAGAAGTCGCGCAATAGAGACCTTTAGAGCCGACGACGACTTCGAGATTTTCTGCTTGCACCTAATTAGCGCACTAGCTTTTACGTCGTTTCGCAACTCTGTCAGGTCGCCCACTGCTCGTCGGCAACACGATCACTCGCAAAACTCGATAGAACTGAGGTCAACTTACTCTGGGTAAACTCAAACTTGTCATCGGATCTAAAACTCAATGGCTGTGTTTCCTCGACCGCGTAGTACTAATAAGGAAGTCAGTGTTATCCTGTAAAAAACAAAACTTTAACACTCATTAGAATTAAAAGAGATTAACGGCTGAATAGATCACCGGCAAACCATCCAGTGTCAGAGTATGGTATGCCTGTGATTTCAGTCTCGGTGCCAGGCCTCGCATTCCTTCATGGTAGCGATAGATTCCAGCCTCACTCTGTCACTTCTTTTTGTATGTCCTGTGAAATTTTCTGGTCGCTCTCTTCCTTAGCATCTCCTCCTGCTCCAAAGCTTCTTGATCCTTCTTTTGTAGCCATTCCTCGTACTTCTTAGCAGTCTGCAGGTGTCGCTCATGACCGACACCATCTCTATGTTGCTCGTTCCTTGCCGCTTGCGGAGACGTCGGCCTTGTCCGCTCCAAGGCTTCTTTGTTGTCAAGCCACTCGGTGAAGGTCATCCGGGAATTTCCATGAGACTGCGGACCCTTCTTTTCGTGCCACGCGACGCGCGTGTCGACGTGCGTGCCGACACGTTTGTCCACACGCGCGTCTTTGTTGCTGAGTTCTCTGTGATTAATATTTTCTGCTTCAGTTTCTTCCTCGCTACCGTCAGGTATGGAGCCAGACCGTCTTCTTGTTCTCCATTCGTTCCAAGGTAAGTTTTCACGGGGCTGCCCGCGCAGTTTTAATCTTGCACGAAGTTGTGGACTTATCTGATAACTGTGAAAATTACACGAGAAAATAATGTTTTTCAGTAACGTGGTTGATGAAAGACTTTTACATGATTCTTTATGTTCAACAGCCGCTTAAAACGAACACACCTTACAAAAGGCTATTTTTCGCATAAAATTCGGCAGAAATTGTATACAAACAAAAACTTTAATTTAAATTTGCTCCTGATTTGCGCTTTGTTTGAAATTTTAAAATCTTTTTTGAGTTTTGTTTTCCTTATTTTCAGATAATGGTGCTCTAAATGAGACAGAAGGTAATAAAAATCAAAACAGTTTGAAAACGTCCCGACCGAAAACATACTTTATGAGAAACTAGGGCACTGACATTAACCTGGCTTTCCAGAGTTATCGCTCCTTCCTATCTTTGAGCGATAGACACAGAGGTCCTGGGAACGATATTGGCGTGACACGTGATGATCTTATGCGCCGCGCGTGTTTTGGGTTTAGAAAGTCTAACTAGTATTCGTACTTTGACCTGAATCTCCATTTGATCATGTGATCATCATGCAATAACTTACCCCTTCTCTTCCAGGTCCTCCACTTGCACAGAACCTCTCCTCGTTCGAGTAATCGGCGGGTTCGGTGTCGGTCTGAACGTGTTGTTTGGCACACTTTTCCTTCTCTGTCTGACTGGAACACTTTTGGCGTATGGCGTGGGCTGGGGACTATATCGGTTTTCTTCTTCACTCTGTGACCTTTTAAAAAAGAAGATAGCGGAAGTAAGACAGGGAACCCAATTCAGCTGTACTTATATAAAACATGTATTTAAGATCGTATTGAGGATTCTTAGAAGCCAACATCTACAACATATCTTGACAAGTAAGTAAATAAGGATAGTAAGCTTTATGTTTTCATCCATTTTCATTCAGTCCAGACAAGTCCATTAACATTGTTCCAGATTATGCATCTGTAGATGAAATCTTAGCCCAAATGAAAGCTATTAAGCAGTACTTTTTGTGTTTTCTGTTTTGTCTTATCAAGGTGGTTTTAAGTGTGGACAAAATCCTCGTATGGGACCATTTAAATGAAAGCTATAGCGCAGTACTTTCATGTGGTAATGTTTATTATGCTGATCAAGTTGGTTCTAACTTTTAAGTCTGTGAGGAAAACCCTTGCATGCGACCATTCAAGTGAAAGCTATTGAGCAACATTTTCATGTGGTACGTAGATATATCTGTTCATGTCTGTGGGGATAGAGGATTAATATATAGCAAATAAACTGCCATGTAGTGATGCAATATTGAGGGCAGTTTTTGCGAGGCGACAGGAATGTCTTCCAAAACTTGTTCCGGTCGAGGAGAGCAGCCATAAATCTTACCTTGGTCTGTCTGAGTACACCTCTCCAGATGACATTGAATCCTCACTGCATATTGATCCTGAACGAGATCTGCAAACTGGAGGATGAGGAGCGATAGCTGCTGATCTCATCTCGCCATTCACAGGCCCAGAAGCGCGCACTTGATTAGCCACGTGGGCATCACGTGAATCTGAATTCACGGAAGAACTACTGTCTTCGATTTTGATGAGTGGTAATTTTATCTCATTTTTTATCGTTTTGTCTGGTAATACGGGTAGACGCCTTCGTCGCTGGGTTTTTACCACGCGGTTGATGGGCGCGACTGTCTCTTGGAGCACGCCTTGCTCGTTGTCGCTAACGTCCGATTCGTCTCCACTCAAAGCCGACCGGTTATGTCGTTGGTTTCTCGTTGCACGGGCCTCCAGTAATGGGCCAGTATTGGAACACCTCTGTGAGGTCCTAATCGGGACCCTTTCTTGCGTTTGTACCACTGCTGGTGAACGCCACGATGTTTCGGGTGTTTCCTTATCTTCTGAATAATGTTCTTTCATTGAAACATCGTCACTTGAGGCAACGGGTGAGAAATCATAACAAATACTTTCCTGTCCAACAGAAATTGCACATACATCGTTTTGACTTTCCACAGGCGACTTTTCCTCTCCTTTATCCGGGCATGTGATTTCAGCGGCTTCTTCGCCAGGCTCTTCACCATCTCCCTGTTCCTTAGCAGGTGCCATTAGTCTGATAAGGTTCGGTCTCTCAGTTGCTGAACGCCTCCGTCTTTGCTCCACGAACACCTGTTTTCTAAGAAAAGCCCTCCTTGGAATTTTAGGCGAGTGACTCGTGTCTGACTCGTCACCCGACAAGGCAGCTGCCGCAAATTCCTGGGCTTGGTCCTGCCACAGTTGCAGCACGTATCTTGCAGAAATGGGAGACTCTTCTTCTTTAAAGTGCACAGCGGTGGACTCTGTTTCCTTGGATTCCACACCTGACGATTCTTTTTCCTTAGATTCCACAGCGGCCGACCCTTTTTCCTTGATTTCCGGAGCGGTCGTTCCTTCCTCTTTAGATTCCACTGCAGTTGTCCCTTGTTCCTTAGGTTCCAAAACGGACGACTCTGGTTTGGGCTCCGCAGAGGTCGCCTCTTCGGCTTCCTCTTCACGGTTAGCTGCAAGTTCATCGAGGTTTGGTCTTGACGCTATTGATCGTCGTCTCCTCTGCTCCACAATAGACTTCTTCCTAAGCTGAGCTCTTCGAAGAGGTTTTGGAGAAGCTGTTGGCAAGGTAGCCTGATCTTTCTGATCTTCCACATTGGTCGCACTGACTTGTTTCTCGCGAGACTCGTTCGTGAACCCCTCGCGAGATTGTTCGTTGTCGTGTGACTCGTTCGTGAGCACTTCGCTGTCTCGTTGCTCGCTCACAATGCCTTCGCTATTTTGTCCTTGAAGCGGAGAGCTGTTTTCAGACCTCATCGCCAAAAGCAATTCCAAATTTGGTCGTTCCGTTGTAGACTTCTTTCTCCGACTGTCAATAATACTCTGTTTTCGGAGCTGGGCACGCCTTGGTGGTTTGGGCCAGTGGCTGGAGTCAGCATCGTCGTCTGCAGATGGGTCAGCGGACAATACTGACGCGTTTTTAACGTCCTCTGGTTCATCTGCTGCTAAATTTGACGCCTGGTTTGTTGTTGTTTCGATTGGAGGCGTTTTACCCTGTGTAAACAAACTCTCATTCCAAAGCATCTCCGTGACGTGATTCGCATCTTTTCCGGTGCTTTGATTATTACTACTGTAATAACCTGTGTCACTCTTTTGTCCACATCCCTGTTCAAAGGAGCTTAAGCTGTTAGGATTTGCATTGATCTGTGGCTCATCAAGCTTAGATGAACTGTCTAAACTGACAGCCAACGAGTCCTGACCCTTTGTGGCGTCGTAATCCTCGATGTTTACTTTCGTGACCGAAGGAAGACTTTCACCAGAGTTATGAGTAAAAAAATCGGTCTGTGTATAATTCATTCTGATCTTCTCTCCTGGCGGTTCATCTGAGTCGAGATCCAGGTCTCCGATTTTGTTGCTAATATTTTCATCGGATTGAGAGTTGCTATCGTCCCCATCATTAGAGTCACCGTCCCCGCTAACCGCATCTGAAATATTTATATTGTTTTGCTCGAGGTTGTCCCAGTAATGATTAGAAAAGCCGGAATGTTTCGCATCACGCCGGTGGAGCTCGAGATAAACGTTTAAGAACTTCACAATATCTCCGGTTTCACCGTACAGTTTTATGGCCATTTTTACCGGCGTTTCGCCAGTATTGTCGGGTGCTTCTAACAAAGCGTTGCCCTCGTTCATAAGAATATTTGCCACGCAACTTGTACTACCACCAGAAACTGCAGCGTGAAGCAGATTTCTCCCACTCAACTTAGTTTTGCTGTGTAGGTTCATTTTCCCTCCCGCAAACGCTGCGAACATCAGATTGTGGTTTCCCTTCACTGCGCCGATGAAAGCGGCTGTGAAGCTTCGTTCCTCGCGCGAAACCTGGCTCATTTTGACGTAGATTCTCTTTCTTACTTGTTGTGTGTCTCCCTTATAACACGTGGAAACAAATTTCTGCCACCACTGTGGGACTGTTACTCTCAATGTGCAGCCGTCCGTTATGCCGAGATTTGCAACGGTGTCCTCGTTACAGAGATCTTTGTTCTGTAGTCTTATAAGCTGTAGGTCGGACGGGATGCCACAAAGGAGCTCACAGTCAATTTTAATATCCTTTATCATTGCATTGTCTCCTGCGCTTATCTTAAACGTCTCTCCTTCTGGCGTTAGAATGTCAATAGCTCTGCTTCTAAAAGCGTTCTCATCAGCTTTATTGCCTGTATCACCGTCCATAATGCTTATCTGGTCACTGCTATCCACTTTGGAACAAACCATTGATCTGGTCCACTCGACTCGAGGTAACGTTCACCAACCGTAAACCGCAGTTGTGTCTTTGAAGAGTTTGTGATGTGTTTAATCTAATCAATCTTGTCAACCAAAGACGTTGTTTCTCGGTCCTCGTGGCATACTCGTGTTGCAAGTTGTCGTGTTTTTAAGCCACTAATTCCCTTTCAGATGAAACCCGAGATGCTCTGTAAACGTTATTTCCTTGTCACCCTAAGGTGTCGCCTAAAGAGCAGTTTAACAGTTTTGCTAATAACTTCAGCACCGTCGGAGATCGGTCAAGCGATAAGAAAATCACTTCTTGTGTACAGTGATCGATGCTTTGAAATGGTCTCTACACGTGTAGTGTTAGAGAAGAAATTTCTTGGAGTACCGGGTTACGTTGCCAAGGATGTTACCAGAGTTGAAATATTTTTAAACGACTTGCAAAGGCAGGCGCTTTCTGTGTTCGTTATACTCGTCTTGATAAACAACTCGTCTTGTAGAAGTTCGTCAAATGGCACGTACTAATCTTATTAATGATGATTGGTCGTAGATTGCTGTGGCAATTAAAACTGAGCTCTATTCAGCATTAACACCGGACACTTCGATATTGCTTCAATCTGGTTGCGTGACTTGGTTTCTAGCACGAATTGTTCGAAGTTGTTGCTGACTTTTCATTAGAAGTGATTCCACTGATCCGCGACATTTATTCAAAAGCATAAACATTTTTTGAAGCTAATATGCGATCTATTGTTCCCCGCGACAATCAATGACAAGAGAGGCGCCTTAATTGACACGTGCATTGTGCTAAACACATTGAGCACCACTAGAATAGATTGTATAGTGTAAAGACTGCGCCCAAACAGAAAAAAACAAGAGTGTTCGAAAAAAACAACCAGTCCAAACAGCGTTTGCTTTCTTGGGAGGAAACGTAGGTGCACAGTTTACTAACAACTTAAAAACCAGAATCAATTATTAAAATGAACCACACAAAACTTTTTATCATTATCTTTTTTTAACATTTCCGTAGGTTTTGTCTTTGTTATTCAATTAGAACCTTAATGTCATTTCCGATAAGTTTTCTTCCACGTCAGCAAAATATTGCTGTTTTCTTCTTGTTTTAAAAGAGGGCTTTTTCCCCGGCCCTGTGTTTGATTTAGTAAAAATACTTCTGAAGTTTTGCATAAAGGATCCCGTGTAAATTGATCCAGAGCTACAGTACGCTGTTCTTTCTAGCTTTTTTTGTGAGCAAAATCTCGCTGTTTTCTTTCTTCGATAAGGACAAACAGTGTATTGTCGTTTATGACGCGCGGTTAATTTTGGGCAAAATGTTGTTTGAAAAGTTAGTGGACATTTTATGATTTAAAAGGGATATTAGGGGATAATTGTACTCGGAATTCAACAGATGGATGACACGGGCAGCGTTCAGCAGTGTTAAAATTCCGATTTGCCCTTTTCCGCAAAGAGGAACGTAAAATTCTGTTCACGTTGCAAAATGTTATTTTTACTTCTCAGGAATTCACGTTGAAACAGTCTTCAAATAAACCGTCACAAAGATGACGTGTTTAGGGTCACGACATCTTGGCACATCTCCATTGAACCGTGAAGCGTCGTTTTAAGGCTTGGTCTTCATTTGTAAAGATTTCTTGCTAGGACTTATTTGATTCATCTTATGAATGTGAGCAAGTTGAAGTCTAAAATAACGTTTTCAGGTTTGAAATTTTATGAGGGACTTGTCACGTAATGCACATGTGAGGTTAGCCAATGAGAGAGTGGCCACTGAATTTACTTAAGTTACTAACTTATGCTCGTAACAGAAAATGCAAATTTCAGCTGCGAACAGCGCAGGACAGAAATTTTTAAAAAAAATGTTTCTGCGTAGATTGAGCAAGTGGTGTTTGGACAGCATTTGTCTTGAATCAGAGCTGTCAACCTCCGAGACAGTTCAGACTACACCTAAAAAGGTGAAACTTGCGGCCAATTTGACCAAGTAGTCTAAGTTCGAGAAATGCTCTCTTGCCGCCGAACAAGGACTCCAAAAATACAGGAATGAGAGAAGGTTTGGCTTAAATCTGTCGTTCGTAGGCAGAGGATCATATAACGACCGTGGTCCATTTTTTTTAAGCACAGATCCAAGCAAAACATGATTGTTTTTGTTTTCATCAACTGAAAGGGTCTTTATAGTCAGGGTTAAACCTTTCTGGACCTTTCGATAAGAACCCAGCCCTCCCCGTTCGGCGCCTGAAGAATGAAAGCGCGGGAAAAGTCGCGTGTTTGGTGTTGGTTTGACGCCTGATTGGCCGAGCGGGAAAAATGGTACCACTGGTGGAAATGACTTTCCCCGAAAGAAAAATAAACTGTTTAAACGCTAGCCATTTTCACAAAGGTAAAAGAACACACGAACAATTTGAGAAGACTTTGAGCAGTCAGGGACACAAGGGAAGCCAGTTACTAAATAACAAAATTAACAGAACATCGTCCTTATGATTTGAAACATTAGTTTATTCAAGTCTGTCTGAATCTAACCTTGTCAACTCTAAATTACGTTTCAATGTAGCTAAGAACGCGCAGAATGTGTCACTAACAATAGCCTAGACTAAAACCACGAAGCTGTAATAGAGCGGTTTTCATTTGAGTGTCGAGAAGTAATTGGTTTTGCATCAACTATGCTACAAGATTGGCTTAAAAAACTCGCGCCGCGTTTTCATCCACTCAGAAGTAAAAGCAAAACCAATTGTAACTCACTCGCACGCGTTTTGCCGCGCTCTGCGTCAGCTACATGTAATTACTTCGAGCTTTGATTGGTTCACTGGATTGTCTGTGTCCTTTGTGTTTGGTTAAAGTGATTACTCTGGTTTTAGTTTTACGACATTCAATTGAAAACTGCTCTATATAACAAACTACGTATAACTGCATTCGTCTATCTCCGAACCAATAAGATTTTTACATGTACAACTGATTTCGAAAACGTGTTGTGTGATTAGAATAAATAAGCTAATAACCGACCAACACAATTACGGTTTTCTGGTGAGTTAAGTCTACTTTCTGGGAATTCCTATGGCTTTTGATTTGTGTTCTGAACTAAGCGCTCCCTATTTACAAGCGAAAAACAGAGGCTAAGCTACAATCTTGACCACAATAAAATAAGAAATAAAACAGCCCCTCCCCCCC